CTTTAATAATTTGATAATATACCAGATGCAACTATCGAAAACATTGCAATTTGTATTGTCTTTTTTTGTTTAAATAAGTTGGCATATGACAAATGATACAAATGTTTGTTGAGACACTACTAAAATGGATGTTTTCGAATTCTGATCTATGAAATAGCGAATTTCCATATTCTCAGTTATACGTTTCTCTAAATCTCTAAATAATTACTTAAAATTTATCAAAACATTGTAGAAAGTATTGTAACTGTACAGCCGCATTGTATGTATGACTGTAACAGCCATACATTCCGGAATCGAATACTGCTACTGGACATTTACTTTCACGCCTGTTGAAAACTATTGCTTTAATTTGATTAAAAAAAAAATAGAAATATTATAAAAAGAGCTATAAAAATATATTACATAAACAAGTTATATTGACAATGTTAATCCAAATCTGTTACTTCATTCAGCGTGGTGACTAAATAATCACCAATCCGTATAAATACTGAACTAAAATAAATAACTCACGTGGCCTCCAATTAGGATTTTGTTTTCGATGGCTCTTATTATCCCATTACTTTTATAAGTGTCGTATTTATCCTTCCTGTTTTTGACAACCTTTTTATTATATCCTCTATTAGCGATAAATAAAGCAATACCGTTGATAAGAAGTCATATACAAATAATCTAATCGTTCGATTTTATCGAAATACCCACTGAAGAATATCTCATTCACAGATATTAAATTATGACATTGTTTATTCTTCTTAGGGTGCCCGTCCGTTCCAAACGTTGGCGATCATTCTGGCTATAATAACTTTGTTGGTTGCTATACCAAAATAGCTCTGTTGAGGTCTTTCTATACCATGCTCTCAGGTTAGCAAACCAGGATATTCTTCTTCGTCCTGGGCCCTTTTTCCTTCAATTTTACCTAGCAAAATGCATTGAAGTATCTCGTATCTGCCTTGATTTCTCATTATATGGCCCAAGTACTGCAGCTTACGGCCCTTGACTATGTTGACCAAATCCGCAGTTGTGTTCATCCTCCGCAGTACTTCTTCTTTGGTGACTTTGTCTTCAGGATCCTTCTGTATGGCCATAGCTCAAAATCCTGAAGTTTTGATAGTTTTCGCCTTCAATGTCCACGTTTCTACTACGTACAGAAGCACTGGGTACACATAACATTTAAGGATTTATCTTTGTTTCTAGAGTGAGGTCATGGCTCTTGAACACAGAACTAATAGTCAAGAATGCACTTTTTGTCTTTACGATGCAACATTTAATCTCTTGGGTATTGTCCCACGACTCATTGATTATAGTTCCAAAGTAGTTGTATTGTGAGACTCGCTCAATTCTCATTTGGTTCACATACAGATTTGCTCCAGTTATGTTTTCCTTGCTGATGACCATTAGCTTGGTTTTGCTGGTGTTTATATCCAGTCCATATTTTCTACTTGTTTCCGTTATTTTGTTCATTAAGTTTTGCAGCCCTTCTATGGTATTGGAAAACACTATTGTATCATCTGCATACCGCAGGTTATTGAGCTTGACTCCATTTATTGAGATGCCTTCATCAATATCTTTTAGAGCCTCTTCAAAAATGTGCTCCGAGTACAGATTGGATATACATAAGTGGTGAAATTATGCGCCCCTTTGATTTGACATCTATTCGGAGTACCGCTGAGTGATTCCAATACAGGTTAGCTATTATTTTTAAGTCTTTTCCGTCAATCCCTGTCCTCTTCAGCACTTCCATAGTTTGTTCATGTCTGACTCTATCGAAAGCCTTTTTGTAGTCAATCAGGCATGCAAAAACATTACAGCTGACCTCTCTACATTTCTGAAACAATACCTGCACGCTAAATAAAGATTCCCTCGTACCAACGGCATACACAAATCCAAACTGATTGGGCGCAATTTGTTCTTCGCATTTCCGGTAAATTCTTTTGTGGATGACTTTTAAAAACAGCTTCAGCAGATGGCTCATTAAGCTTATGGTCCTATAATCTTCACAAACTTTTGTTCCTCGTTTTTTGGGCAATGGTACGAACTCCGATTTGAGCCACTCTACTGGTATTTATTTGTTTATATATTCCAAGTTTTTTTTTATAAAATTTAATTTTTTTGGCATTTAATTGATATGCCAACATTTTTTCACAATTTTGTTTGACCATTCTGAACAAAATAGATCTATTGTAATTTTTTTGTAAACTTGATCGCTTTAGAGTTATAAACAATTTAGAATTAAAACAAAACGCAAAATTACGATTTTCAAGACTCAAAAACACGACTAAAAAATATTATTTTTGAATGCACTCAAGAATTAAATTCAAGTTCAAACCTTGTTCTATCGTTTCCTGATAAATATTTTGGGCTTATTTAATTTCAAAACATTGTCTTTTATTCGATAATGAAACGCTTATGACAGGATGGGCTCTTCGGCTCCGGCGTGTGTAAGTGTGAGAAACAGGATCTATGACACAAATTTCTGCTGGTTTAAATTATTATTATTGAAAGAACAAAGTTTGAACTTGAATTTAGTTCTTTGGTGAATTCAAAAATATTTTTTACTTGTGTTTGTAAGCCTTGAAAATTGTAATTTTGCGTTTATTTTTCAGTTTATATTGTTTCTCAAAAACTCAAAACGATCAAGTTTACAGAAAAATTAGAAGAGACCTATTTTGTTCAGAATGGTCCAAAAAATTCGACAAAAAAAATATTGTCCAGTCCGGAAAAATTTCGTTGTTACAATTTGTCTAAAAAAATTGAACAACTTTTCGCCTGGGTGACCTCTTGAACCTTATTTTGGGGTATGTTCATTTCGAATCATGGGCGGGGGGGGGGAGTTTTCGAGGTTTTATGATACTCTCCCCAAACTTTGGTATTGCTTCATTAGGCCGAATCTGACACGGTTTTCCTCTGCGACTTTTTTTGGTTCTTGTGCGTTTTACCTTCAATTTTCCAGAAAATTTCACCTGTTCCATCATCGAAAAATAAGTTCCGTCAGTAAATATGAAAAGTTGTTGTTGTTGCTGTTATGAAAGTATCCTGAAAAAATTAGCTGGTTATGTATGAATTTCGTCACAGTAGTTTTTCCGATATGTTCGAGTTGTCAGACGCGTTGTCAGAATTACCTATATTTATCATCAGACAATTTTATTTTCGTTTTTTTTTTCTTACAATTTTTAAGCTATCGAATTAAAATAGTATATTGTCCGACGGAACTTGTTTTTCGATTTTCCTGTCTGACGGGTGAAATCTTTCGGGAATATTAAAGGGAACGCGCCCCAGAACCAAAAAAAAGTCATAGAGGGAAATCGTGTCAGACTCGTACTAATGAAGCGTTACCCAATGTTTGGAGAAAGTATCAATCAGACGGACTCGAACTATATTTATCTACATACATTCAAACGAACTTCTTTATGGTTGTCCATATTGCGTTCCTTCCTTCTTTAAAATACTTTTTTTTTTTAATACATTATTACATGTAAACGATTTTTTTGTCTTCCACGTTTAAACTTTTTCAATCAAATTACAACGATTTTTATAACTTTGTAAAAAATGGTTTTCATTTGGTTTATAGTGTTTCGTATATTTTGTTTTATCTGAAGCGCATAATTAAGCATTTAATAGCTGTATTGGTTTATCAATATTTAATATAATGTATAAATTATGAAAAAGCTCATACCTTTGAATACATTTTTTAAATCAAAATTCATTTTTCTTAAGGTGCCCATCCGTTTCGAATGTAGGCGATTAACATGGCTAGCATTACTTTGCTGGCGGCTATTGGAAATAGTCCTCTTTTTCCATACACCTTGCTTTGAAGAACGAGTTGCAACAAACCATATTTCAATATTGTTCTGAAGCTATTTGCTTGTGGCATCTTAATACAATTTACTATTTTTGTTAGGAATTAGCAACAATTTTGTGTTAAAATTAAGTTTATTTGATGTTTTGATTTCTACTTAAAAAATCGTTCTCGAAATACAAAACATTAATACATTAAACAAATTTTGTTTTTGTTGTTATTGGTAAAAAATTCTTTTAATAACTTGATTTTACATGACTCATTCCATATAAACATCATTTTAAAATCATCTACTTTAGAAAGTATAATATATGTCTGAATTCTAAATATGAATGAGTCGTAAAGTACATGTAAAGTGCTTTTTTATGAGTAAGAAAATTGACAAACTTCTATATGGTCTAATTTTTGTTCTGCAAGATTTTAAAAAATTTCAATTTAAAAAAACTATTTAGATTGCAAAATTATTATGCGAAATCTATTAAATCGATTTTATTGGAATTTGGTTTACTCTTTTGCTATATTATAAAGATTTTCTGGATGAAGTATGTAGGTCCTACGTGTAATCTGAGTAGTTAAAAACAATGAATAAAAAGTCTTCTTTCTCCTTCTTTTTTTGTATTTACTGCTATTTTGCAGTAAGGGTAATAAATTAAAACATTTTTAATCAGCCGTATCTTATAGAAAATTTAACTGTCACTATTTTATTTATTTTTATTTTACTTTGGTTCAAAATTAATCGTTTTAACGTTGTAAGCAAGGAAAATAGAAAAAACAATCGATGTTTTTAGTGATTTTTAAATGTTTTATTTTTTTTTATTAATGTTCTAGACCTATTTAAGAGAGGATGAGTCAATTATTATTACTGAAGGTATTACACAACTTCTGTAAAAATCCGAATGCCATCCCTCTCATTCAAATTTAGTCGTTTTTTCACAGATCCACCCTGGTCTATAATACAACTTAATACTCTCTATGTTTGATAGATTAATTAAAAATACAGCAAACACAAAAGGAATATGATTTAAACCAGATTGCACGATTAAGAATTGCCATAAAAGTTTTTACGAAAACAATCGTTTTGATCATCGTACTTTAATAACAGGTTTCTATTTGGAAGCTGGCACATTTTCACTTATGTGCTATCGATCACAAGAAAAACTTATTTTACAATTTATTCTAGTGTAATATCGAATTTTCTTTATTTCAGAATCAAGAACATTTGAAACCACAAATAGTCGGGGGTCTGGCAAATGCCGAAATATACTGCTTGGCCCTCGGCAATATCTATTCAGATCCTAATTATCATAATCTGAATCATTGGGCAATTCTACAAACTTTAAGCAGAAAGAGTGTTTATAACAACGAGGATGCGCAGCTTACAGAGACAACGTTAATTCAAACTAATCCACTTCGTATGGTAAGTAATTTGAAAATATAATTTCTCAATGAATACAATCGTTAGCGTATTATTGATTGCAGATCCGCTAAATACATGAAAGTCAGTGTATTACTAAGTGATTCACTTGTTTAATTTATGATTCACATTCGTTTATAACACTTATTATAATTTATTTTATTTTAATAATATTTGGTATACAGCGCAAAAACAATAAATGATAAGCATTTCAGCCATATCAATTTGTTGTTTTTTTTTTAATTTTTTCCTAAATTTGCTAACCACTAAAAATTGTTACATTTAAGTTTAGTACAGATTTTTCTCTTTTTACTTTTGCATACTCGTATAGCCGCTTAAAGGGCGCCACCAATAAAACCTTCCGACACAGATGTAACCTCAATACCTTTTGTCAGTCGAAAAATGAATCTTAGCTGAGAACATTTTCGAAAAATATATTTTTACAATTTGCTGAGATAATTTGCTGTGCAAATATGCAGATAGGTAAAAGTCAGGCTAAAACAAGAAACGAATGGTATAACCAAGAATGTAGAGAAATAACAGAAAAAAAAGTGCAAGCCAGAAATAAATGGCTAAGAACAGATAAAGAGGAAGACAGAGAAGAATATGAAAAATTAAGAAGGTATGCTAAGAAAGTGATAAGGCAAAATAAAAGAAGATGGGTAGACAAAAAAATGCAGGAAATAGAGCAGGAAAGAACAAACAGAAATACGAAAAGTTTTTACAAATAGATTAAAGAACAAAACAAAAAATAAAAAGGCAAAACAAACGGAATAAAAAATAGAGAGGGAATAGTGATAATAGAGGACCAAGAATACAAGCAAGTATGGAGAGATTACTACAGAGAGCTCTTGACGGAGGAAACAACAGAAGAAGAAATGCATGACGAGGAGGAAACAGTACACGAAGAAGAAGCAAATGAAGTAGACATCGAAATTTCAAAAGAACCAACATTAGAGGAATTGGATGAAGTAATACAGAGAAGCAAAAATGGAAAAGCCCCAGGTAAAGATGGAATTAATATGGAACTAATAAAATACGGGGGAAGGGAACTAAGAGGAAAAATACTGGCACTATTGAAAAATATATGGAAAGAAGAGAAAATGCCAGGTGACTGGGAGGTAGGACAGATCATAACAGTACATAAAAAGGGAGACCAACAAATCTGTGAAAATTATAGAGGAATAACATTACTAAATACAACATATAAAATATTGACATCAATAATAAAAAAGAGGTTATCAAAGATCACAAAGAAGACAGTAGGACAGTACCAATGTGGATTCACAGAAGGAAGATCTACAATAGATGCAATACACACAATAAAACAAATAATGGAAAAAGCAAACGAGTATAAATTAGAATTGGAAATGTTATTCATAGACTTCAAACAGGCATTTGATTCAATTAAAAGGAACGTATTAATGACAGCACTTAAAAAATTAAAAATTCCACATAAACTCAGAAAATTAATAGAAATGACAATGAGAACTACAAAAATAAGCATAAAGACACAAAGAGGAGAGACAGAGGAATTCAGTATAAATAAAGGGATGAAACAAGGAGATGCCTTATCAACGACGCTATTTAATCTAGCATTAGAATATGTACTGCGAAATATAAATAAAGGAAATCTCAGAACAAGAGGTGGTCAAATAATTGCATATGCAGATGATATTGCTATTATTGCAAAGAACAGAAAAATAATGAAAGAAATGCTTGAAGAAATAAGAGAGAAAGGGGAGGTAATGGGGCTAAGATTAAATCAAGAAAAGACAAAAATATTAAGATTAGGGAAAAAAACCAATGAAGGAAAAAATCAAAATAGGAAGTTCCGAGTTTGAAGAAGTAGAATACTTCAAATACCTAGGAGTTACAATAAGTAAATCCGGAGAAAGGAAATCCGAAATAAAAGAAAAAATATTAGCAGCGAATAAAGCTTATTTTGCAAACAAAAGATTACTTAAAAGCAAAACACTGACTAAAAAAAGCAAGATGAGCATTTATAACACCATAATTAGACCAATATTATTATATGCAGGGGAAACAATGACGATGGTTAAAAAAGATGAAGAAGACTTAAGAATTGCAGAGAGAAAGATTATGAGAACCATACTAGGACCAATCAGAACAGAGCAAAATGAATATAGAAGCAGAACAAATGCAGAAATTAAGGAAGAACTTAAGGAAGACATCGTAACTAAAATAAAGCAATGCAGAGTTAGATGGTTAGGTCACATTTGGCGAGCAGGCGATGAGGCAGTGACATACGCAATGATAGAATGGAATCCAGGAGGAAGAAAGAGAAGGGGAAGACCGAGATCAAAGTGGCTGCAAGAAGTTGAAGAAGACCTCCAAAGGGCAGGAGTCAGTGAATGGAGAGGAAGAACTAGAGACAGGAAAAAATGGAGAGATATTGTCAAGAAGATAAGATAAACAAAAAAAAGACTGATCCACTTAAGAAATAGGATCTAGAAAGCATTTGCGGTTTAGCCCCACGTTGGGGTGTATAGCCATTATATATATATATATATATATATATATATATATATATATATATATATATATATATATATAATTTGCTGAGAGGTCTATCCCAATAGCAATGTCCCGCTGAAATGGGTTATGTGTTTGGGAATAAAGCGTCACACCAGTCACCTATTTTCCGCTGGTATTGCGAATTTCAACGTGGTCGCTCCAGTCTCAACGACGAATCCAGGCCAGGTCCACCCAAAACATCGTTGGTGTCAAAAAACATTGGAAAGGTTCAACAAAGCAAGCTCAAAAAACGTTTATAGTATGGTTAGTGGCGATGAATCTTGGATTTACTCCTATCTATATATCTATCTATAGCCCAAAATATATTCATGTGTTGAATATAGGCCTCTCCCATTTGTCTCTGTCTTCTGTTTGTCTTTTCCACATTGGACCTGCGCTTTGCTCAATGTCATCTTTCCATCTTATTTGCGGTCGACTCTTGACCTTTTTGCAGTATATGATCTCCAGCGGCCAATTTCTTTATTCCATCTTCCATCCTGATATCTTTCGTTAAGCCCAGGCCATTTCCATTTTAATTTCAATGCATGTTCGTTCCTTTTTTTATCTCTCAACGATATTCCCAACATTTGTCTTTCCATAGCTCTTTGAGTTTTCTTTATTCTATCTAAGTTGCTCTTGGTACACGTCCACGTCTGGGCACCATATGTCAGAACAGGTAGGACGCATGCATTAAATACCTTCGTTCTTAATTTTAAAGGTATTTTGTGGTTTTTGATAGTATATGAGAGTTTTCCGAATGCAGCCCACCCCATTCTTATTCTTCTGGTTATTTCTTTAGTCTGGTTACTTTTGTCTGCTCTGATAGCTTGTCCTAAGTAAATATATTCTTGGACGTGTTCTATGTTTGTTCCACCTATGGTAATTACTGATCTGTCTTCTGTATTAGTCATTATTTTAGTTTTCTTTAGATTCATTTTTAGTCCTTTCTCAAGAGATGTTTTTTCTAGGTCTGAAATCATTATTCGTAGTTGTTCCATAGTTGTTGCTATCAGGAGTACATCATCGGCGAATCTTAGATGATTTAAATATTTCCCGTTTATACAAATCCCTTTATTGTCCCAGTCTATAGATTTAAAAATGTCTTCCAACGCCAGAGTAAATAGTTTGGGTGAGATTGTATCCCCTTGTCTGACACCTCTACAAATTCTAATTAATGGAGTTTGCAAATCTCTGTCTAGCTGAATTCACATAGTGGCATTTTGATATATACCTATTGTGGATTAACATTCTGTACCGTGAATCTATTCGGCAATTAACTAGCGCTTCTTCCACTGCCCATAGTTCTATGCTGTCAAACGCTTTTTCATAGTCAACAAACGCTAGGTATATTGGAAGGTTGTATTCGTTGGTCTTTTCTATCAATATTTTAAGAGTGTGAAGGTGGTCGGTTGTGCTGTACCCCTTTCTAAATCCTGCCTGCTCAACTGGTTGGTATGCATCAAATTTGTTGTTTAGTCTAGTTGTGATCACCTTAGTGAAAGTTTTATAGATTTGTGACAAGAGAGATGTTGGTCTATAGTTAGCTAATTTTGATCTATTTCCTTTCTTATATATCAGAATTGTATTTGCCTCGTTCCACTCTTGCGGTATTTGTCCTTCAAACAAACATTTATTGAAAAGTATGTTTAGGTAGTCTTTTATCTTTTCCCCTCCTTCTTTTAACATTTCAATTAGAATTTCATCGTCTCCCGGAGCCTTATTTCTTTTCATATCTCTAATTGCTTTTTCTATTTCTTCTCCGGTTATGGGGGGTAATATTTCAGAGTTTACATTCAATATTTTCTTTTTCAGGTTTTGTTGAGTTGTATCAGGTGGACTGTTTTTAGAGCTGTAGAGGTCACTATAATATGCCCTTGTTATCTTAGATATTTGGGTTCTGCTTTTTTCTATTACACCTTGTTTATTTTCCATCTCTATGATTTTGTTTCTTCCTAGGTGGGACTTGATAGATCTTAAGTTTATGTTTTCTTCTATAATCTTCTCGATTCGTTCTTCTTGATGCCGTTTGAGATCTTGTTTTATATGTCTTCTTAGTTCTGTATTAAGGGTTTTGTATTCAGTTGTATTTCTTTTATTTTCTTGTAGTAGGCTTCTCCGTTATTGTAGCATGTCTAAAGATATGGCACTTAGTTTTGATTTTTTGTCTGATTTTGCTGGAGCTACTTCTAAGCTAGTCTTTAGAAGTTCTTCAGTGATGGCTTTGTTTAGTTGATCTAGATTTAGGTCTGTTATCTTTAGTTCTTCAGCTGTTCTTAATTTGTTTTGGTATTGTTCTTTATTCTCCTTGTTTGTGTTTAATACTTATTTTAGCCCGTATCATTATGTGATCACTACCAGTAGAGATTGAGTTTATTACTGTGACGTCTTCGAAAATGTTCTTTTTGTTTGTTAGTATGTAGTCAATTTCATTTTTAGTGTTCCCATCTGGCGACATCCATGTCCAT